CACTATTTCTATACATTATCTATATATACTTATATATAAAAGTGTATAAAATTTTAATAATTTTTATACATTTTCAACAATTTGTAGTACCTATAATTTTTAAAAGGTTAAAACAAACCGTTAATAGGAGTACCTTTTAAAACTGAATTACATTTTTTATTTTTTATTTATAAACTATAGACCCTTTCTACACATTTTCAACAATTTTGAATTACACTATTTTTTTTTTCAAACGTTAAAACAAAGAGATAATAGAAGTACCTTTTAAAACTAAACACACACATTTTTTAAACGTTAAAACAAAGAGTTAATAGAAGTACCTTTTAAAACTAAATACGCACATACCGCAATTATTATCTATAAAAGTGTATATATTAATAATAATTTTTATATATTTATAACAATTTTTAGTAACTTATTTTTTTTGAAAGGTTAAAACAAAGAATTATTAGGAGTACCTTTTCAAGCTAAATTACCTTTTTAAGTATTTTTTTATTAATCTATAGGCTCTTTCCTTTTCTTTACAGACATACATTTTTTTATAATGATTAGTAACGTGTTATAATAGCCCTTCCTAGAATTAATACATTTAAAGATAAATTAACTTTATTAATTTCTTTCTTAAATCACTTGTCTTTTCTTTTTCTCAACAGTAATTGGTATTATTGTAAAGAATAGCTCAGTTAATACCTTTCAAAGCTAAATTACCTTCTTTTTTTTTTTAACAATTCTTTTTTTTACTTCACATGTCTTTTCCTTTTCTCAACCGATACAATATGTAAAAACGTATGCGTTTTCATCGATTTTATATACATGTCATATTTATTGACATCAAAACTTGATGTACCGTTCCAATTATTTTTCATGATTTTCATTTTCATTAAATACTTTACATTATAATATATACTTATATACTATTTAAAATTTCAATAGCCACATATGATTAAATGAGTCATCTGTGAATTCCAATAGTTACATATGATTAATGAGTATATATATATTTTTATTATTTCTATACATTTTAACAATTTTGAATTAGAGTATTTATTTTTAACAGTAAAATCGGTACATTATTTTGACTGTTGCAATTCTTTAACTTCTAACAAAATAGTATGGACATATTATAGTTCTCATTAAATCATGTAATAATTCATACCATAATGAGACTTTTTTTTTTTTTTTTTGAAATGTATTTTTTGGTTACATATATTTATGCCTAAAATAATTATTTTTTATTTTTTTGAATTTCTAAATGTTTTTCATATTTGTTAAATAAAATAATTTTGTTAAATGTATCTTTTTGGTTATATATCTATACCTAAAATAATATATTTTTTATTCTAAAAGTGTAAAGAAATTTTTGAATTTTTAAACTTTTTTCATATTTTTTAAAATTAAAAAATAAGGTTTTTGTTTTGATTCAAAGTGTACAAAATATTTTCTAATACAATTTATTATTTGATTAAATATAGTTTTTAATCATAATAATTGCAATTCAATTGCTCTTAATTACGATTTAATATTTGTGCCTTTTGATATTTTATTTCACTACTTCATTTCCTGCACTGAACCAAAGAAGTTGTAAATAGTCTGCTAGCTTGAATTGCACAAAATTGTTTCTGAATTTGAGAGATTATCTGGAGTTGCATTAATGGAGAATTATCTATATCTTTTGATTGGCAGAAAGCAAAGCTTCTCTCTTTGATATTTTATTTGCTTCCCTCTTTGATGTTTTATAGCTATGGTGTTTTTATCCAATTATTCATTAACAATTCTTTATTGCTGTGAGACGTGGATATTCTTTCTTATACAACAATATATTTTAACATTTCTGTCTTTAACTTTCAGAAGACATTGCTTCAACAAATGAAAATGGACCTTCTTGACCAACCCTCAAGGTTTTGATTGGAATTTTGGAGGGGAAGTGGATATTGAGCATTAACGATTAGTATATGCTTTTTAATTATGACAAATTCATAATCAAATATTAGCATTTTAAGCTTTTTTCCAAGTAAATCTTTTAACTAATTTAATGAGACATGTTTATGAAAAACAAATTAAAAATAATAAAAAATAGAGAAAGTGCTTTACACATTAAAATTTGAAATTAAAAAATGTTAAGAAATTCTTTACACTTTTAGTATTTTTTTTCTTTTCTTTTTTTAATATTGCGGATTAGGGCATGGAATTTTTGGGGAAGGAAAATGGGTTGCTTTTTAAGAAGTGGGATGAAAAATGTTTTTCTTTTCTTTTTTTTCCCTTTTTTTGAATATTGATTCCAGTATGTGTGTAGTTAGTTATAAAAAGTATTTTTATTAACTCTTTATTTTAACCATTAAATAAATACTCTAATTCAAAATTGTTAAAAATGATAAGAAATAATAAAAATATATATACACTCACTAATCATATGTGACTATTGGAATTCAGAGATTAATCATATTTAAAAGCAAACCCGTTCCTTCCCAAAAAAAATTTGTTTAAAAAAAAAAAAAAAAAAAAAAAAAAAAAAAAAAAAAAACAACAACAACAACAACAAACAAACAAACAAACAAAAAAAAAGAAAACCTAAAAGGGAAAGCAAAAAATGTACCATTTTTTGTTTTTAAAACACACGTCTACCCAACTTCAGACATTTTCTTTATTTCCAAATATTTTTTGTTATTTTAAATTTAGAAATTTATTAACGTATATATCAACCATATATAATGGTTTAAAATGCCTCCAGAAAGGTTAAAACAAAAAAAGTTGATTAAAGCATAATGAATCATGCCTCATTAATAATATAGATTATAAATGTATATATTATATATGGCCTAATATTTTATGAAAAAAGTTGAGGAAAACCAAACAAAAACACATGTTTTTAATCCGATTAAAAATGAAATGGTACTCTTGGAATTTTCAACCTTAAATTTTATTAAAACTGTATTATTTTTATTTTGATACTTAAAATCTCCAACCAAGTATTTCTTTAACTCTTCTTTTTTATTTTCACTATAAATTAAATCCAATTTCATTAAAAAGTATTAGTGAACATTAATTACTTAAATTTCATTTCATGTTTTTAATGGTGGATAACCTTTGGATTTTCAACCTAAAAAAATGTCATAAGTGGACTGCAAAACCTGTACAACCTCTTGGAATTTTTAACCTTAAATTTCATTAAAAGTTTATTATTTTTATGTTTAATGCAAAATTTTTGCAATTTAAGTTTATTATTATTTTGAAATTTCCAAGCTATAATAGTATTTGATGTCTCTTAAAATTTTGAACAATAACATAAAAATCTATTATATATATAGAGGTAAAAATTACAAGATCAAGCTCCAAAATTGAGGAAGCAACAAGATTAGATGTCAACAAGAGCATTACAAGTAGGGATTACAAGAAGAAGAAGTATCAAGGAGCATATTTTATCAATTAGCTTTGGCAGTAAGGATGAGAATGCATGTGCGACAAATCAGGAGCATCAATTAGCTTGGTTAAGTTATTTGCTTGTTTTGAATCCTCTACTCAATTTAACTCATAGTGGTGAATTCATATTAAATTGTTTTAATATTAAGCGTAGTGATGATAAAATGATTGTTAGGTTTCATTCAACAAATTAACAATTATTCAGTTTTATTGTACTCATACTGAAGTACTTATTTGAATATGAGTGTTTTGTTATATTCTTCCTTTGGATTACATATACCTTCTTTTTTTTTTTTTTAATGAGTACTTAAGTTTGGTTGTTCATGTTATCCAAAGCCTTCAATTATTTTGATTTACATGTGATTTGCATTTGTTAATTCCATGTTTAAAACATTTTTGCTTAATCTTTGTTGGTCCCATTTTTTGAAAAAATTTAGATGGTATTTGTATGTCAACTTGTTTCTGTGAGTTTTGGATTGCTATTTTTTCTTTTTCCTTTCTCCATTGTATTTATTTTTTGAAAGTTCATTCATTTCAAGAAACTTGAGTCCATGCAAGAAAAGTCTTAACAAACATGTTATAATGTTATAGAAAGAATAAGTGTCTTCTTTCTTACAATGCAAAATGCTGGAAGGTTATTCCTTTTGTGCTTGATCTATGTGGATTACAAAATGATAATAATATATATATATATATATAAACTATTATATTTTAGTTATGATAAAAGGATTTTTAGGTTTCGTTCAACAAATTAATAATTATTGAGTTTTCTTGTACTCATTTTGAAGTATTTATTTGAATGTGAGTATTTTGTTGTATTTTTCCTTTGAATTACATGTACCATTTTTTTTTTTTTTTTTTTTCAAATGAGGACTTGAGTTTGGTTGTTCATATTATCCAGAGCCTTCAATTGTTTTAGTTTTCATTTGATTTGCATTTGTTCATTCAATTTTTAAAACATTATTGCTTAATTTAGATAGTATTTGTATGCCAACTTGTTTCTGTGAGTTTTGGATTGTTATTTTTTTATTTTTTTCTTTCTCCATTGTATTTATTTTTTGAAAGTTAATTCATTCATCTTGAGAAACTTGAGTCCATGAAAGGAAAACCTTAACAAAAATGTTATAATGTTATAGAAAAAAGAAGTGTCTTTTTTCTTATAATGCAAAATGTTCGAAGGTTATTCATTTTGTGCTTGATCCATGTGGATTACAAAATGATATATATATATATATATATATATATATATATATATATATATATATATATATATATATATAAATTGATTAGAATCTATATTCTAGAATATATCTTAATATAATATGGTTTTGAGTTTAAAACTCAAGAAGCAAAATAAGATATCTTTTGGTGCATGATGATCATTTAAAATATTTGAACGTGAAAATGTATGAGAATTGCTCTACTGAGATTTCTACATAGAATGATTATAGATAGAAGTGTGATAAAACGAAAAAAATATTTAATACAAGTAACAAAAATGCAAATTAAAAATAGAAGCTTAGTTGTGGTATAAATGGCATATGAAATATATTTTCATATTCCTTGCTTCACATTGAAAAACATCGAATCAAATAAATTATAGTTTATCAACTTAATCACTGATCAAATAATTTTTTTAAAATTTTTTATAATCTTATTAATAACTTGGATTTACATCACGTGCATCTGCACGTGCTCTCTTGCTAGTATAATACATTGGACTTGAGCTATTTCTAGTTAGCAATAAATTTCTACACTATTTATTTGCGGAAATTGAAGAAAACGTGGACCACTTGCCAAAAATAGAAAAGGTGAACCGGTCCCAGGCCCGGCCCAAAAGCAAGGCTGGTCCTCTTTCTATAGCACGACCCTTCTCTTCTGTAAGACTCTTCGGCGCCGTTTTGTTAAATTCCTCGTTCCGGCACCGGAGTCGGTAACTCAGGTCAGTTGGCAGATACCATTTTGTTTCTTTTATTTTTTCTAATCGTCTCTTAATCACTTCTATGGTGTTTTTATTCCTTTTTTTCTTTTACTATTCTATCTTTTGTTCTTTTTCAAATTTTTTTTTTTATAAGAAATTTGTACAAATTAGTGATTGTTAGTGTTCTGTGCTCTTATGAAGATTGTTTTAAGGCGTTTCTCTTTTCGAATTGTGATATATTAGGATTTTCTCTGAATTTGCATTGGTGCTCTGTATGTTCCTTTTTATTTTATTGTATTTTTTAGTCATATTCTTTTTTCTTTTTCTTGGGGCTAAGAGAAAACTATGTGGAATTGATGCTAGCATTAGAATAATCAAGCATCCTTTTTAGAAGTGTTTCAATTTTCTTCTATAATTGATAATTTTCATGTTATGTTGAATCACTTTTATAGATAATTTGAAATGCATAAGAATACACATAATGACACTAATCACTCAACAAAAAACTAATAACTACCAAAACTATTTTTCTAAAATCCTTTTATATCAAAATAAACTGAGTGAAAATTTCTTTTATTCCTTTTATAGAAAGCAAATTTCTTTAACTTATTGCATGCTCTTGGAAGAAATCAATTTAAAATGAATCAATGGATTTATGAAGAATTCAATCTCAGAACAAATTCACAAATTGAGTTTGTCAGGCAATATATTTGAACGACTGAAGTCACTAAAATTAAAATTAGCAAGATAGATTACAACAATAACACAAGAACTGAACCACCACCATTACCACCACCAACTACTACTACTCTCCTAATCAACATCAACAACAAGCACAACAACCACCACCACCATGACAACATCAAAAGCAGGTAGACCAGAGTAGCCTGAAACTGTCTCTCTTCAATATCACAGCATATATCCACCATGTCCAACTTATTAACTAGGAAGTATAACCATTCTGAAACAAACAGAGAGAACTGACTAGGACCTCACTTCTTCGTGTATATATGGCTAGCAACCTAGACACAACATGGAAGAAAACAAGAACAGTCACAAGAAGTCTTTTGATGAATGAATGACAATTTGTTAGTAAAGCTGCTCACTAGTGACTGGGTCTAAGAAATTACTAGATAGAAATTCTTAACATATATATGAGTGAAGACACAACAGTTTTTGTTCCCTTCATGTTGTATGCATTATTGTGCTATATGGAAATGATACAGGGAACAATAAGGAAAAATTGTGCATTGATTTTTAATGAAACACATAGCAGACAATGTCTCACCTCCTTGTAGTAGACTGAATCAGGACAAGCTTTCATAAGATTTCCTGGATGGGGACTTGAAGTAATGGTTGATCTCAGGGATGTGTCTAACCTTTGGGCGATCCACGCTCTCTTCTCCACGTATTAGCTCTGCGAGCTCACTCGAAGCGAACCTCAAATTCAGTTCTTGTAGATGCATGAGATATTCAATACCAAGAGGCATCATCTTCAACTCATCACAGGTGTCTAGAGTCAGCTTTTGGAGACCTGGCATCACTCCCTTCTCTATTATTATTTCATTCAGTTGAGGGAGATTACTCAAGTGTAGAATAGTAAGCTTGAGGAACCCTGTACAGAAGCATAATTGTTTTTCTGTATAGCCATTGAGAAGCGCGAGGTCCCTAAATTAGGCAGTTGTTGGATGTATGGCAGTGGATCTTCTCTCAACCTGGACCAATGCAAATACAAATATGTGAGGGTTTAAAGTGAGTGAAACCAACGAGGCACTTTCTCCAGTTTTCCAACCAAAATGAGCATATTAAGGCAGGGCGGAGCCGAGGAGAGCGCTTCCATTCGAAGGTATTCCTCTTCATCAGTTACCATCACGAATAAGTAGCGTAGCAGTTTCATATTTTGGATTGAGATGCACAAGTCTTTGTTATCTGCTTCCCTCACCTTCGTAATGCCAATCCTTGTGAGTTGGGTTATGTTTTTGGTTTGCTTCATCAACCCCGCGTTTGCTTCTACACAAGCCAGCACTTGCAAGTTCTTTAGCTTACAAATATTTGACGGTGATGGTGTGCCATAGGTGTAATCAAAGTCACTATAGTGTCCTCGATTGCAGCGGTACATAATTAGATGCCGCAAATTGGTAATCCCAGTTGGGAGTACTTCTATCTTTGAGTCCGTAATGTCTAAGGTTTGAAGATTGTGGAGTCTTCCAATGGACTTTGGAAGCTCTTTAACTCTAGTTCCTCTCAAGTTCAAATATCTCAAATTGAAAAGTTGAACTAGTTCATCTGGCAATTTCACAATCGGTGCATCTTCCAAATCTAAGACTCTTAACAATTTTAAGCCAGATGGCAATGTATTCAAAGATGGAGAAAACACATTAGTGGCAAAAACAAAAAGAGTTCGAAGACGAGATTTACTCTTCCATGATTTGAGTAGTTCTCTGTGATCACTTGATAGGATTGACAAGTGATGCGCTCCATTCTCTTGATCACTGCCTTGATGATCAGTACTCCCATCGTAGAGTACAGTGCAAAACTTCTCTTTTTTTAATACCAATAGAGCAAGCCCTTGCATAAGATCATGCATCTTAAGTGCTTTTGGCCTTCCTGCTGGGTTCCTCATCACAACTTGAAGCATGCTTCGATTAATGAGTGCCATGAAATAACTCTCTGCTACCTCTTCAGGTGTTGTCTTCTCGACCTTTTCTACAAACCCTTCTGCCATCCAAAGTCTAATGAGCCTCTTTCGTTGAATTCAGTAATCTTCGGGAAAGAGACTACAATATAAGAAGCAACACTTAAGTCGGTAAGACAAATCATTGAAACTTAGCAGCAAGATACTTGTCACTCTTTCTAATTGGGCGTTGTTGCTCAACATCCAGTTTAAGCCATCACAAGCTTGTCTCCATTCCCATTCCGATTTTTTGGAAGACATAACACAACCTAGAGTAACAATTGCTAGAGGTAGACCTTCACATTTTGCAACGAGGTCGTAAGCTAAGCTCTCGAGACCTTGAGAGCAACTCGTGTTGGGATGGTTCGGGAATGCTTTCATGCAAAAGAGGTCCAATGCGTCAGAATATCCAAGTGGTTTAAGATGATAGACATGGCTTTTAACTTCAAAAGAAGATGAAGCTATATCTTCTCTCCGAGTTGTAAGCAAGACATGACCTCCACGTCTTTCATCCGGAAGTGAACATTTAATGTCTTTCCAGAGGTGATCGCTCCATACATCTTCGAAGACAACTACATACCTTCTTGGCCATAGGTAATCCAAAAGAATCTCGACCAGCTGTCTGTATCTCATGGTGCTCAAGCCTACTGGAACAGCTTCCTTTGATGTGCAGTAGAACTCCTCAATCATGCGCCTAAGTAGGTCCTCAACGTTGTAAGTTTGTGAGACAGTGATCCAAACATGGCAGTCAAAACTGTCGCTTGACATTCTCGTGGTTGTAGGCCTTGACAACTAGGCTGGACTTGCCTGAACCACCCATTCCCACCACTGAAATAACGATGCGTTGTGATTCGTTATCCATCAACCATTTGACTAATAACAGACAATCATCTTTAATCCCGACCATATCATCATCTTTAAAGAAGAGAGAAGACTCAGCTTGGTTTTGCACCCATCTCTGATCGTCATGTGAGCTCGTTCCTCTCACATGATCGACACCATAACGTTGGCTTCTTTCTGGAATGTCTTTGATCATTCTCTTGATCTTTTGTAACTCTCTGGCTATTCGATGTCTCACCAACAGATTCTTTGGGATGCCAATAGTCTTGAAGAAGAGCCTTATGTATTTACCCCCACTTTGTTGCTTGTTCATGTGATACACGAACTCATCGGTGATGTCTTCAACACGGTAGGCACTGTCTTTCACTTCTTCCACCAGGATTTCTCTAAATCTGTAAGAGCTCTCTTTCTATCAGCATCCTGCAAAAAGGACCTCATCCATCCCAACTCTTTCTTGAGGTCATTGAGTTCATGATGAACTCCTCCTATCAGCGACACTTCATTCTCAAGGACAGAAACAATCTTGCCGATCAAGAGGTCCACCGCAGGAGAGGCCATGCTTGCCTTCTAGCTAGCTTCCCTCAATTGTCTGCACTCAATTTGTTCATTCATGAGCAGTAACGTTATTTATTTTGTTACAACAGATTGCCCAGCAGCCCACCATATATTTTTACTTGGTTTTATTATTGAAATTCACAATCATGTGAACTACATTATTCGACATTATTTTCAAATTTTCAAATTTAGTACTTTAGAGTGAAATTTCAAGCACATGCATCCCCTCTTGGAATTCAGTTACAAGTGTGATGTGAAAGCTTTGGCGGTGGCCAACTGGGGTCATTGTTAAGCATGCATGTATTGTCAATTTGTCGTCTTGACTTTGGAGCACATAAATTTGCTGTGTTCATTAGTCTAATTTGGGACCATTGAACACTCTTGTACATATATATATACAACGCCGAAGATAGAGATGTTGAAAAGAAGGTATATGTTGCACAATTCAATAATATTTTATAAATAAAAGAGTGATTGCTTGTGTTCATAGTATAATTGTGTTCTTCGTGGTGGTTCAATTGGTGTCCACACCATTACAGTAAGTGACAAACTGAGATTGCAAGTCTCAACTGCTGTAAAAGGATTAAAGAAAAAAAGTCCCAAAATTCAAGAACTGGCCTACCTAGACATCCTTATTCAAATTCGCTCTTTGGGATTTTGGAGTAACCTTTTTCTAATAAAGTATTCTTCTTTCCCTCCCCTTTTCTTTTAGGCTTGGACTCAGGTAAATTATCTAATAAGTATGTTCTTTTATTTAGCACTCTATCTCCAAGATGACAAGGGTTCAAGTCTGATAAAATAAAATTTTAAATAAAATGAAACTTACAAATTTATGTGACTATTAAAATAATTAATATTCAACTTGCATGTTGGTATGTAACAACAACAGAAAAACACTAATGGGATGTGCCTTTTTCGCCTGCTGGGATGAGTGCGGTTTAGACAATATAGTAGGCTAATTTTTTGTTTGACGTAGTTCTATATAGTTCTTTTTTATTTTTGTCTTCAGAATTGTACTTTTATTAATTTATTATCACATTTTTAAGACATTCTCGAGTCCATTTTTGGTTACTATTGCTTTGTTCGGTAGGAAAGAAAGAAGATAGGTGGAGGGAAAATAGGAGGGAAAGAACAAAGTTCCATCGTTCGGTAGGAAGGAGACACGGAGAAAAAGAAAAATAGGAGGGATGACACCTTTGGAGCATCAATTACTGAACTTAATGCATTTGAATGTTCCCTGTTTTGATTAATTTCTGTTCTAAATTTTATATTGAATGAGAATCTTATCTTCTTCCGGAGTCCATGGCCCTTTCTTCAACCCTCTCTTATCACAGCATGGTTTTCTCCCCATTAATTACTCTCTCTTTCTCTCTCTCTAAAGGATAATCAATGAGGAACTAGAAACAAACAAGTTGTATGCTTTAAAGAAGAATATATAGGCACCGCCGATAAAATTGAATCATCGATTCAATAGAAGAAGAAATTGAATTTATGTGCCTGACTTTTTGAGAAACCCAAATAGATTGACATTTATCAACCATACATACATATGTGCGTATAAAGAGAGAACTAAAGGAGCTTTTGAGGTTAAATGCACAACAATGCCCATGCAGTAGGTAGGATTAGATATTTGAATCCCTGTGATGGAATCCCTCTCTCTGCTTCCAAGCATGTAGATAGTGGTTATTTCTTCTTTTTCCTTTTTTAATGATGAAATATGATTCTAGGTTTTATATATATATATATATAAGACAAACAACAAATTTAAGTGAAATTAATGGAATGTATAATAAAGGTTCAAATGAGTAGTAAAAATAGTGAGGGTATAATGGTAAAAATAAATTTAAATTTTCTTTTCTTTCTTAATTAACGAATAAAGTAAGTTGTCAGATTCTTCTCTTCTTTTTCATCCAACCGAACAAAACGAGGGAAGTTTGTAATCCCTTCCCTAGGGACGTATTGTCCTTCCTTTCTTTTCTTCATTCCATCCAATTTTCTTCCTTCCTTCCAAACGGAGCATATATGCATTATTAGTAAGGGAAATTTTTAATAATTTAAAATTTTATAATCAAAGTTTTATAGAGCTTATATATTAGCCACCAAATGGAGAAACCAAAATTAACATTAGGTTCATTTAGTTTTATTTGTTATTCAGTGTTAACTGTGTTGTAGAGAGTTACTATTATAATCACATGAGATTCCTTGTGCATTTTAATTTAGAGCATGTAAAGGGAGATAAAGGGTAAACCCTGCCTGTGCAAGTATACTTACTAATTGAAGAAAATGTTAAAAATTATAAGAATGCAAAATATAATTATTTTTTAATTTCCACAAATTTCAAAAATTGAACCTCGTCATTTTCCAAAAAAATAATAATAAATAAATAAATCTAAAGGATTTGAAAAAATAAATAAATAAAAAGTTGTGTAAAGACTTTTTTTTATTAATTTTTATTTATTTATTTTGACTTGGCTGGGAGTTGTTGGTGGGTACTTGGGGGTGGGGACGGGGCAACAAATGATAGCTCTTGTCAATTGACGATTGAAGCAAACAAAGAAAGTTATTAGGCCTGTTGATAAGTAAGAACGAAGTTCAATTATACATGTATATATATAGAGAGATGTTTGTTCGTGTTCATACTTACAGACCGCCTTGTCCTGGCCTGTTGGTATCAAGGAGGAAATTGTAAATCCATCTTCTATATGGTGAAGTTGCTGGCATTTCTGAAGTTTTTGCAATAGTTGATGAGTATTCGTCGTCTTTTTCTCTCTTTCTCGAGAAAGTTCAAGTAAATGCATATATCCATAATATTGATATGCTTACCTAACAGACAACGGTTCAAAATAACAAGAAAGTGAAAGAGAGTTATTAATTTATTACTTTTAATGTTCCTATAACCATGACAACAACAAAGAAAGCAGGCTGCAGTTGCCTGCGATAGTCTCCGACACTGCAACCATCATTTTGCTAAAGAAAACATAGCGAATTGGGTAGAACGTACCTTCACTTCTTCATACGGTTAGCAACCTAGAAGAAACAAGAACCATCCACAAGAAGTATTTTGATTTTAAATATATAACAAACTTGTGAGGAACCTACTCTGTGATTGATTTGAGAAACTACTAGCTAGTAATTTTTCTGCATGGTGTAGATAAATTTCGTACCCACTAACAAGCAAGAGTGATCGTTATCCGTTAAAGAGATAACAAATTTAAATTTGAACCTTAAACAATTATTTACATTACCGTCCCACACACTCACATCTTTATATTTACATCCAGGCCATAAAATATTTTTCTTTAAAAACATTTTTAGAATCCAAACATCATAATTTTTCTCTGAAACAATAATAACTATAACGTACAATAGCAACAACAAGTAGTCATTTTATTCCATTATAACAGTAGATGTACTAATTAACTTCTTGTCTGCATCCATAGGCTGTAGTTGAAAAGGAAACACACAGGAAATCCAAATCTCTTACTGCCATGGTAGAACAAACTAATTAGTGAACTAGGTAGCTAGGACTTAATACACAATACAACTAGCATCGTATATAATCAACAACAATAATAACAACAAAAGCAACAATCCTGCTAGACTTTTTATTTCATAAAAAAACCACATGTACTATATATGTAGCCGTCTTGATCAATAGGCCGGTTGCAGTTGCCTGTAACACGGTGAACTGGTTAGGACCTTTACTTCATATGGGACTAGCAACCTAGACACCACACAGAAGAAAAAAAAGACAATCTCAAGAAGTATTTTGATAAATAAATCACCTACTCAATGACGGATTTAAGAATTCACTAGCTAGAACAGGCTATGCCTAAATGATACAGGGAACAATAAGAAAAGAAATGGACATTGATTTTTAATTAAATTCAAAGCAGATAACGTCTCACCTTCTTGTGGTAGATCGAATCAAGACAAGATTTCATAAAACTTTCCGTGGTAACCGATAGAAATGTCTAATCAGGGGGATGTGTCTAACCTTTGGGCGATCCACGCTCTCTTCTTCGCATATTCGTTCTATGAGCTCACTCGAATTATAGTACATCAAATCCAATTGTTGGAGATGTATGAGATATTGGATACCACAAGGCAACATCTTCAACTCCTCACATGCGTGTAGAGTCAGCGATTGGAGTCCTGGCATCACTCCCTTCACGATTGTTATCTCATTCAATTGAGGGTGATTTCTCAAAAATAGAAATTTAAGCTTTTGGAACCCTGTACTGAAGCACAACTGCTTTCCTGTATAGGCATTGACAAGCCTGAGCGGCACTAAATTAGGCAATGCTTGGATGTGTGGAAGTGGGTCGTCTCTGTGTGGAAGTGGGTCGTCTCTCAACCTGGACCAATGCAACCACAAACGTCGCGAGGGTTTGGAGAGAGTGAAACCAACGCGGCACCTTCTCCAGTTTTCCGACTAAGTCAAGTTTGTTAAGACAGGGTGGAGCTGAGGAAAGTGCGTCTATTCGAAGGTATTCCTCTTCATCAGTTACCATCACACCTAAATGGCGAAGAAGTTTCATATTTTGGATTGAGATACACAAATCTTCCTCATTTGCTTCTCTCACCTTCGTAATGCCAATCCTTGTGATTAGGGTCATTTTCCTCACTTGTTTTATAAAACCTTCTTCTGCTTCTACAGAAGTCTATACTTGCAAGTTCTTTAGATCACAAATATTTGAGGGTCCTTTTGTGCTAAAAATATAATCGAAGTCCAAAATATTTTTTTGATTGAGGCCGTAGACAAGTAATGCCGCAAATTTTGCAACTTAGTAAATCTCAGTTGGAAGCACTTCTATGTTTGAGTCCTTAATGTCTAAAGTTTGAAGATTGTGGAGTCTTCCAATGGACTTTGGAAGCTCCTTCACCTTAGTTCTTCTCAAGTTCAAGTATCTCAAATTGAAAAGATGAACTAGTTCATCTGGCAATTTCACAATCGGTGCATCTTCCAAATCAAAGACTCGTAATAGTCTTAACCCAGATGGCAATGTACTCAAAGATGGAGAAATTTTTTTAAGGACAAAAACAAAAAGAGAGCAAATATGAGACATTCTCTTCGATGATTTGAGTGCTCTGCTGTCGCTTGATAGGAT